AGGGAAGGGAGGGGCGTGCAACCAACATGGCTGGATTATACAGGGAAGAGCTGCTGGGGGAAGGGCAGCCTAGCCCCCTAGTTCAGGGGAGATGGCAGCGTATGCAAGCCATACCCTGTGACAGGTTGGAACTGAAGGATGCTGGGAGAACCTGGCAGCCCTGTCCAGCTTTGGTATGTTAAATCGGCACCTCAGCTGTTTGTCCCAGGTTAGAAATGTAACAGTTACCAGACACCCCCCACCCCATGATATCAAAGTGTCTGTGGGTCGGTAGAGTCCCAAGATGAGCCACTCCGGTGACAGTCTGAGGAACAGCACCCATTGTCATATAGTGGCAGCCTGCTGCCCATGATTGGCTAGTCATTACCTCGGCTGGACAATGGGCATTTCCACCACCAGGGTCTCCACGCAGGAGAAATATATAAAAGGAGACAGTGCGGAATCATCAGCAGGCCAGCTACTCCAGAATTCAGTGTTCTGGGAATCCGCAGGAGCATGGCGTGCCACGCTCCTTATTAGAAGCAGTGTGTCAAGAAGGCTGGCCACCAGCTCAAGTCTGTATTTTCTCCTCCAACGCTGAGGAGTTCCTTTAGTCTTTTAGGAACCTCAACTCCGGTCATACAGGATCCATGACCTCACTGCAGAAAAGAATTTGGGGATGAACTAGTATGAAGTAGCGTTGGAGTTTATTAGAGATGTTTTTGACATGGGTTTTATGAATGAGGGTTCATAGAAAGGCTCTCAGGAAGAAAGAATGGGTCTCTCACACGTCTCTCTGAGACGAGCATCAGCCACATGTCCAGGTTGGTGGCTTTCAAGTATGTCTCAGAGGGTTGCTAAGAAATTCCACTCCCGCCCCCTTTTTGAGAAATGAGATTACAGTGTGTCTTTGGAGGTACTTTGGATGAGATTAATATAGCAATCAGATAAGTTAAGGGAGGACACCAGGATTGCAAAGGGGGTTTAGGGCATGTCCTTTCACCATAAATGCGGTTTCAGGTGAGTCTTACTAGAAGACTATAGGCTTTCCAGCCGGAAGGGAGAAAGACTATAAGTCAGTAGTTTCCAATCGTCCTAATGCTGCGACCATTTAATACAGTTCCTCATGTTGTGGTGACCCCCAAACATGAAATTATTTTCATTGCTATTTCATATCTGTAATTTTGCTATTGTTATGAATCATAATGTAAATATCTGATATGCAGGACATCTGATATGCGACCCCTGTAAAATGGTTGTTAAACCCCCAAGGGGGTTGTGACCCACAGGTTGAGAACCACCGCTAAGCGAATATTGTTTTCGTGCTGGAATTCCCGATTCCCAGCAGGTGAGGGGTTTCCTGGACTCATGGTCAGGGGCTTCTTCCCTTCCTGTGCCCTCACATTTTTCTGTGTCTTCCTGTCCCGCCTCAGATAATACTGACGATGTCTATTTTTACATCAAGGTTCTGGAACACAGACCATCAGCTCTGCTTCCCGAGTGTGTTGAAGCCATTCTCCTACAAGGCAAGGGACAGATGTTCCACCTCTCTGGTTGTCCAATACTCGGAAAGATTGTTTTCAGTGAAAACCAAATTACTGAAGCTGCCAAGTGCAATAGCATGTGGATTTCCATTTTAACAAAGCTGCTGCACATTTTAGAAACACTGCTTGTGGGCTTGAGGCAATATGTGTGCATTTCAGGTTTTGGTGTTGAGGGTCAAAACTAAAATCAAAAAGCCTTGCACAGGCTATACAGACACACTAAGCACATGACACACACACACACACACACACACACACACACACACACACACACACACACACTAAACATATGCCATGTATACACTAAGCACATGCTAAGCTCCTGCTGATCATGTTCTACCAGTGAGTGACATTCCCAGGCCATGAACTATCCCTCCCTCTTCCCCTCCCTCCCTTCCTTCTTTCCATTCTTTCTCTTTGGGTGACCTTGAACTTCTGATCCTCTTGCCTTCACTTCAGAGTGCTGGGACTGTAGATGTGTACCACCTCCCTGGTTTTATGTGGCACTGGGGACTGAATTCAGGGTTGGTGTGTGCTAGAAAAGATTTTGCTGACTAAATTACATCCGCAGCTTCCTCCAGCAGTGGTATTTTCTTACTGGGTTTTCTGGGGATAAGCAAACTGGAAAACTTTGCTAACATTGTTAAAGGAGTTTTATCTAACTCAAAAAGATACTTTAAAAAACATTTAATAAAATTTATTTTCTTGAAGTTTAAGTCATCTCCGGGAGGCGGTGTGTGTGTGTGTGTGTGTGTGTGTGTGTGTGTGTGTGTGTGTGTGTGTCTGTGTGTATGTGTGTGTCTCAGTTTCCCTGTTTGAAGACATCTCTGGGACGCAGGGCTCAGTTTCCCTGTTTTGAAAATATGTATATATTTTTTTTCTGCTAGGTAAGGTAGGTGTGCTGTCTCCTTTGTGGGGTCAGAATGCTTACTGGTCTGCAGTGGTGTCAGTGGGGATCTACTTGTGTTGTGAGTTCAAATTTCTGCTGAAGAAATTGGAGTTGAGGCAGTTATAAACAACAGACTGGAGAATGAACTTGGAATAGAGAGGATGTCACCCTGTGTGGTGTAGAGTGTAGATGGCATGCAGAAGACTGTCCTCAAGCAAATGTAAGTGGAGAGGTATTTTGATCAAATATTTAATTTAGGGTGAGTCAATCCCCAGCTAACCTGGAGGAATTAACTTACGAAGATACACTTTAATTTTAACCATGTAGTCATGTAGATTTTAGATCAAGAAATTATAGATGGAGTATGGACAAAGAACAGAGTCTAAAATGTCTTTATACATATATGTTGTATACATGCCATTTAAAACAACAGTAATTTTATATACTTTGTTCTAGCAATTCTACTTTGGGAGCTTTTTTATCCCCCCCCCCCC